ATTCCCTTTGATGCAGAAAAGCAAGCGTTAGACCAAAAACTGTAGCATTTGGGTGTTGACCATAGCTACACCCCCTTAACAAAGAATGATAAAGGAAAATAATCATAAATTATGCAAAAAATGATCAAATTTTGCTAAATCATGCGGGGTGCATAAAACCACGGGGACAGTATTAGAGAGTAACAAAAAACCCCCCAAAAAACGCAAACATCAAAACGACTTTAAAAAGGCAAATAAATTCACAGTTTGACTTAAAGATTTGCAGGTTATTCAAAATTATGAGTAAGATTGGAGGAAAGGGGGAATAAGAAAAGTGAAACAATGGAAGACCCGGGCTCCGAAATATGTCACGTGTGTGCGAGATGTACACCGCGCGTCCATCAACACCGAGATATTAGGCTGCTGTCCCGGGTAATGAGCTCAGCTGAAAATCAGTGCTGACAGTAGGAATGTATACCACCTGGCAACCAAAGAGTTAATAGCTACCAGCTGAGCTAACAGAGTACCTGCCCCCTTTTTAACCCTATCCGTACGTCGTGTTTTACTATCGTATCCATACGACGTGGGGAACTCTGTGCCACCACTTAACCCTATCCTTACGCTGTGTTTTACTATCGTATCCATACGACGTGGGGAACTCTGTGCCACCACTTTACAAAGAGGAAATTACTCATTAATCCCATTCGTACGCTGTGCACAGCAGTCTGTCAAACTGATTTTTTTTAGAAATACTGAAATTTTCAAAGAGATCTTCGTACTAGAAGTATTCTAAAATGTGAAGAATACAACCCCGCGGGTACAAAATGACCCCAGGGCGTACGGATAGGGTTATGAAGTTGATCAAACACAAACCTTTCAAGACGGAATGCCAGGAAGTGGGCCACTGCCAGGACCATGGCGAAGAGAAAACCAGCCAGGCTGGCGTGTCTGTCGAGAAAAGAGCAACATTATTTTTAACCCTACCCGTACGTCGTGTTTTACTATCGTATCCATACGACGTGGGGAACTCTGTGCCACCACTTAACCCTATCCGTACGTCGTGTTTTACT